CTTATGGTCAAACATGCACTCATTGAAAACTTGTATTAAGATCATATTCTTCGTTCCTCAACACCAACCTGAATTGAAGCATAATCTCTGAAAACTCTTCATAAAAACATAACCAGATGCTTGAGAACAAGAAATGGGCAACTCCTAGTGTTTCAAGAAAAAGGAAACCAGAAAGGAACAATTTTTGTGTAATTCCTAAACTCTGTACTGTCTAACATTTCTCACTAATGTACACCCCATACCAGGGCTAACTGCATTGTAGGAATGAAAAACAGCTTCAAAAATTATTTGTGGTCATTCACATTGACCTGACATGAGCACAGCCTTACCCTCACTGTCCTGGACAGGAGAAGGGCATTTTTTACTTTCTGTGGCTGGCAAAGATGACACTTCCTTGCTCTCCAGAAGCATTAAGATGCCATGGACAGAAATGTGTCCAGTCTTAACTTCTCCAGGAGACAAAAAATGTGCTTCTCATTGTCCTGCAAAGAGGTACCCTGCTGGTTTGACCTTCTTAACTTGCTGAATTAGCCCTTTTTGTGCTGCCAGAGCTATAGCAAGCTCAACAGAGGCAGCAAAAAACACCAGAAATAGCTTTCTGGTTCTCTACACACCTTCATGGATCCAAACTGAAATTCATTTAACTTCTTTTCCAGTTGTACCAAGTTGGGATTAACCACATGTCTTGTTTTAGCCGAAACTGAATTAAGCAATTTACTAACCCAGGAGATTTTTAACCTCCTGGAGGTTGCTGCCATCCCCAGCCTGCAGGATCTTTTTTTAAAAAATAAAGAAATCTTTAACCACTGCCTTTAGAAATTAATGATATCAGGAGCCATACAGCTTTGTGGCAGTGTTTTTCTCTATGCCCTACTAACATAACATTTTTTAGGGTGAATATAGTAATTACTAGTAAATAACTAGTAATAGTACTTGATCCAGTTAACCCCTTCTCCTTGCCACAGGGAAGAGCATGACACAGGGCAAAACTCTGGTTCAGATTCAAATTTAAGCTTCAGCTAAATGGAGGCTAGCCTGACAATGCCCCTAAGACCTTCCTGAAGTCTGCAGTAGTGACAATGGAGCAAATTGGATCAGCTTCCTAGTATAATTTAAAAAAAAATAAATAAAATCAACAAATGAAAAGCAAATACAAACAAAACAACAACCACAAGGAGTAGAGGTGAAAATTCATTGCTGGTTCAATTGCAAATCAGCCACTTGTAAATTCGAGGCTTAAGTGCTCAATAGATTAACCTGAGAAATATTCTTTAGAGAGTTCAAGGGGCTGATTTTTGCTCTCAGTTATGCTGAAGTCAAGGAATTAGGTCCACTGTCATTACAAGAAGTATTTCACCTCAGTTTTTCAGTGCAGCTGCAGCAGACTGAAGTGGACCAGCAAGACACTCAGAAAGCACCACCCCTGCAGACACACACCAACCCTACCCAGCTCCAGGCTAAATTCCTCCAGCATCACTTACAACATCAAAATGACAAAACCCGATGGTTTTGTTCAAGAGAACATCTTTTACTGCCTAGGAAGAGGCACAAAGCAGCAGGTGGTATTTGCTTTTTCCCTTGCTGAAAGAAGTCAGTCCCCTGTGCTCCAATTCCACGCGGGATTCTTCCTGTCAGCTACGTGCAGCTCCCTTCTGTGACAGCCCTGACACCCCAGCACACAATGTACCCTGTGCTGGGAAGGCAAAGCCTTCACCCAGCTCCTTCCAGGGCTGCCACTGCCTCATAAATCAGCTGGCTGGAATACCTCAGGTAGGGCTTAATCCAAAGGCCACTGAAATCAGTGCAAAGGTTCCCTCTGGCTCCAGGCTGGTTCCTCAGGGCTTTGTAAAACCCAGGCACAGCAGTCCCTCTGGCCCTGGGGACAGCACAAAGCCTCAGCTTTGCCATAGAGCAATTAAAGATGCAGCACATCCCATCACCCCAACAGCTGGAGGTTTTCCTTTTTTCCCTGACCTCACAGCAGATACAGAATGCTGCCAGATGGGCACAAGTTAACACTGCCATACTTTGTCCTGGCTTTCCCAGGCTGTGCCTGAAAAGTCTCCTTCCCCCCAAGGTACCTGAGTTGCTGCTGGGTCCCTGCCAGGCTAAGCACATGCAATAAATCTGACAGCCTGGGAGAGAGCTGGACAAAGTCCCACATGTCTGCTGTTGGAAATGTGCCCCCTAGACAGGTCTGCAGTGCTGCTCCAAACACATTGACAGGCCTCCAGAGATCCAGACAAATATAAATAGTTTAAAAAAATAACTCTGGCTGGACAACATTTCTGGGTGGGCACAGTCAGCCTGCGTGGGGAATCCAGAATGTCTGGAGTACCTTGAAATTATACAAACTTAAAATGCAAAAAAATCCCCTCACTTTGTTTTTGGGTTGGTGTCAATTTTTATCTGAGTTGCCTCTGCATGAACTACTAGCCACAGCACCAGGGGTGAAATGCAATGTTGGTATTCAAAAGATAAAATGACTCCTCAGGATCAGTCTTAAGCATATGAACCCAGAATACACAGCACAACAAAGTATCATTTCCAACATGGAAAATGGAAAAAACCCCCAAAACACAAAGCCTAGCACCAGACCTCAAGGACTGATCTTAAACTGAGCTTCTCCTAATATTGAATAGCTGGACATGAGTGGCCCCAGCATCACAAACACTTGGGAACCTGACAGCTCATGTATCCTCACCACTCCAACACAGCCTCTGGCTCTGCTGAAGGCATGATAACACCAAGCCACTTGGTGCAGGAGTCCATACTGTTGCATTTTCACCCCTCAGTCTTTCCTGGGCACAGCATCCAGCTAGAAAGACAGGCTTCCAATGGACATTTATCCCAGGAAAAGGCAAAATGCTGAGTTATAACACTGCTGGTGGGAATGGCTGCTGGCATTTCTGGCTTTGCTGTTCTACTCAAAGTCTAAACAGTGTTTGAGAGACCTGGCAAGCATGTTATAGCCTACACAGATATCCATCTCTTCATCTCCCAGCAGAAATGCCTTCAACCAGTGCTGGATTCCCCACAGCAAGGCTCCAGCCACTGATGGGAGGGCTGGGGAAGTGGTCTCTGCTTATGAAGGAACATTTCCAACCTCCATGCTGCACAACCCACTTCATAAAACACCTGAAAGCATTCAGAGGCAAGTCTGGCAAGCAGATTTCTGCAGCTTATGACATGTGAACATGTTGTGGTTATATTATTAAAGGTAAAGATGATTCCCAAATCCCCAAAAATCTGAATTTGCCAAAACCAATGCAGCATCACATGTTCATTCGTTAATAACAGCCCCAGTGCTGCTTCCCTTCCCTCTGTGTGAGCCCTGCAACAGGGGCAGATGCTCAGCTCAGCTCCTGCCCCACTTTGCCCTCTCTTTGAGGGCAGGATTTGGGAGGTCTCAGCTCCCAGTTTCACACCCCAACTTGAGAATCGGGCTCTGTTATTGTTAAGGCAAACCAAAAATAAAAAGGCCAGACTAAATTATTTTTAAGATCCTGAGATTTTTAAAGCAGTCTTGTGACTTTTCAGGGGTCTGAGTCATTGTGCTTGAATGCTTGAAGCTGGCAGCAGCAAAGGGAGGACAGCAAGATTTAGCGTACAGTAATTTACTGTTGAAAGCCTTCAACTGTGTGGGAAAGGGCATGGAGCACATCTGCAGTGATTAGGGGAAAAGGGACACAGGCCCACACAGGCCCAAGCCCTTCTCCTCCAGCCAGGCTGCCACCAAGCTACCCTCTCCATGAAAGCACCACACTAAACCCCAACAAGGCACCCCAGACATAGACAAAACATTTCCTTTTACTAGGATGGGACATAGGTGACACCCTGGGTTTCAGCTCCAGGAATGGCAAGGGCAGAGCCCACTGTCCCCAACCCTGGGGCTGTCCCTGCCTGCCCAAACCAGCCACACCACAGAGCTGATACCCAGGTCACCCTGCAGCCTCTGAATGCTCAACGAGAGCCTGGAGGTCTTCAAAGAGGAGTCAAGTGGCATTTTTCTGCAGAAAATCCCAAACTACAGTCCCTAACATCCTCCACAGACCACCCAAGGCCTCTATTCCCAGCAACCCCCAAGGTCTTGGCCTTTCCTTTAACAGCTTTGATCAAAGAAGAAGAAATGAAAATGAAGTCCCTATTCAGAATTAAGTACAAAAATTAGAACAAAATGTGCTTAAACCTAGCTTCTTTTTTTTTTTTTTAAATCAATGCAGCGTTAATAAGCTAAATCAAATCTTTTTATCACTGAAGACATTTCAAAAATAAATGAAGCCTTCCTCCCTGCTTACACCAGTGTAAATCATGAAATTTCATTAAAGCAAACAGGACTGTACAGGTGTAAAATGGGTTTAGTCAATGAAATGTCATTTCCACTATTTTCATGGTATTTCTTTCAAAAATTGATATCGTCATACCCACATCAAATTCTGCTCTCATTTCACCAAAGTAAATCTGTGACAAGTGACAGCAAATGCTGCTCTTGCTGCCCACATAAAGTGACTGAAAATGAATAAAAAGCAGCAGGCAGTACAAACACAACAGCAACTGCCCAGTAATGGCAGACAATTCACACATATGCTACATATACCAATTGTATCCCAGTTTTCAACTTACATAACTTTACCTTTAGTATATATAATATCTGATATATAAATATCTGGCAAACACAATCCCTTCTGCACAGCACTCACACAGCATCTGAGGATGAGCTTTCCTTTCTATGATTTCCATAGAAATATTGCCATATTTCTATGCCATATTCCACCACCTCTGCTGTTTACATTTATCCATGTAGCAAATTAACTAGGAGCCAGACATTTCCAGCAGTCTAAGGAAATTAGAGAACACAAAACCCACAATATTAACTGAAGCTGATATTTTGGCACATATCTTTAGCTCAAGGACTCTTTGAAAGCTAAGGCAGAAATTCTCACAGCCACTGCAAATCAAAGGCCAGGCACCAGCACAATTTTCCAGCTGCAGTAACTCACCTCTCTGCTTCCAGGCGCATTTCCTCACGCTTTTGCCTCCTGAGCTCTCTGCGGCGTTCAAAGTCATCCATGGTGGGTGTTTAAGCGTTCCAAACTCTGGGAAGATCCAAATCTAAAAGGGAGATGCGCACTTAGATTAGAGTGAAAGCACAAGGCATGCAACTAACCAACTGAGTCCATTTAGTTTTGTTTTGCTGCCTTAGCTCTGCTGTAACTATTTTCTTTTTCCATCAAAAAAGTCGACTTCCTCAGTATTGTTGAGATAAACAAGATTAATGAAACGTCTTGAAGGATAAACATAGCCCGTGCCTGCGTTTAGTTTCCTAGTTAAAATTAAATCAACATGCTTCAGGCAAGGACTGTATACATCTGCTAGCCACAGACTAGCTATTTGTAACGTCACAGGTCTTTTCCACTAACAAAAGCAACAATTCAGCAGGATTTTTAACTTCCAGCTTCCAATTTTTCACCGCAAGCAATAAAAGCACTGCACAAGAGTGTTCTTGTTTTCTTTAGCTGCACAGATAATTAAAAGTTCTGCAGAAGTTAGTCCCCAGCAGGCTGTTCCCACCCCCACCTTCAGAAACGCAGAAGAAAGGGAGTGAAGAGAAAACGAGAGAAGAAAGAAAAAGAAAAGAGAAAAGAGGGGAGGGGAAGAAAAAAAGTAAAGGGAAACAAGAAAAATAAGCCACTGCTTTTAAATACCAGCAAGGGAAGTCAAACTCTGTACAAACCCTGCTCAAAGAACGAAGAGCAGCAATACTTTTTTTGCAGCTGAATCCGCGCGTTTTGCCCGTGCCCTACCTTCTTCTTTATGATTTAGTCCATGAAGTATTTTCCCCTTTACAGTTCTTCATATACAAAGCCTTCCCAGCCTCGGTTTATATCCCATCAAGCCGACTATTACAGAATTCCCCTGCAGCCCCCAAACCAAAAATGACTACCAGAAAAGGGAAAGCTGTTCTCTTTTTGTCCCTGCTTTGTTTACAGAGCTGTCAGTGGTTAGTTAAACTCTGCCTGGAATCTGGCATTTAAGGCCTGCTCTGAGATTGCTTCCTGTGCAGGGCTGGAGGCCTCAGCTTCCTCTGCAATCCCAGCCCCCAAAATCCACTTTTCCCAGCCCCTCACTTCACAGAAAAAGCCCAAAACTTCCAAAGGTGGCTCAGGAGCTGCTTGCAGCTGGGGGCAAACCAAGCCAAGGTGTATTTGGGCATTATTTGAAGGGCTCTGTTTGCAGATGGAGATATGTCTCATGGCATTATTTATGTTCCTGCCAAGTGCCCTCCCCATAAAATCACTGGCACCAGCAAAGCCTTGCTTGGCTTCAGGGAATTTGTGGCTTTTTCTGCCCCCTTTTTTGGATTAAAACACTGCTGAGGGCAGGGGGTTTTGTGGAGGTTATTTTATTAGTTTACTTTCCCTGGGGATATTTTTCTTCTTGATTTGTTCCCAGATTGGGGGATTTAAATTTTTGATGTTGCTGATGCGATTTTCCTCACGTTCGTCTGGGGTTGTTTTGTGGAGATTCAAGGGAAAGATTAATTTTGCAAATCTGATAGAGACATTACAATTGCTGCCTTTTTATAAATTCAGTTAGACCGTGCATCTAAAAAACAAGTTGTAAACAGATTATTTCGTCAATCTTGTGCTGGGTACCCCTTGAAGAGGCCAGAACAGCAAATCTTCCATTTTCTCCCCAGAAGCGCTTCCATCTCAGCCCACATGTGCAGCTAAATCTGGAGGACTGTGAGTTGCAGGGCTGATGTGGTTCCCCCTGGCTGGGAGACAAGGATCAAAGGAGGAATGGCACACTACAGAACAAGTTCAAAGCAGCACGCTGGGTTTCTGTGCAATGACAGTGTGCTCAGGAATTAAGACTTTACCAGGCAGCAGCATTTAGTCTGTGGAGCACAGTCACCATCAGGGATTTAAACAAATATTTGGTTGTTAGGATGACAGCTCACACGCTAGAAACAAGAACCCCAAAGCTTTTTCCTGCTTTGCCTCCCCAAAGCAGACGTGCTTTGATATTTGATTTATGTGTACCTTCATCAGCTCCCACCCAGCCAAGCACATCCCTCACTGCATCCCTCAAGGCTCTGTGCACCAACATTACCCCCATGCCCTCTCCAAATATCCCAGCCCATCCTCCACATGGTCCTCAGCACTACCTCCCATCTCCAAAAGGTCGAGCTCTTCCTCGCTGAGGAAGCCTGAGGATGACAATAACAGCAATCCAGAACTATTTCTGTTCTTCCTCCCCTCTTTTTCCTCCCCAGGAGCACTGGGGAGATTGCCCAGCAGTGATAAGGAGTTCCCTGATGCAGCAGATTTTCCCCAATCTCAGGATACTTTTCTGTCTTGCAATGAAGATCAGATGGATGGATGCCTTGTGAGGATGTCAAGGGTTTATCCCAGTGTAACATCTCCTCTGAAAGGGCTGAGGCACAGCCACTGCATGACATTCAGAAAGCTTTCAATCCAAATCTCTCTTCCAAAATTCAGGAAGCCGCTTGGGAAATGGAGTTCAGGTCAGCAGTTTGACCTTTAGCTAGCAAGGCCATATTAGTGCAAGAAAAGGAGGCATCAGACAGAAGGTTCACTTGAAGAAGTCACTTATTCAGTGCTGTTCACTGTCTCCCCAGAAATGATAAAATGTCTTTCAGCCTCTGAGAACCACTTGACAATAACATCTAAAAATTCTTCCCATTTCCACAAAAATATATAATACAATACACATTTTTTGTACATGGTATAAAATCAAAGAACCTCAGAAGACTCAAAAATTGCTTTACTTATTGATGGAGATATCAATAATTAAAAGTGTTTTCTACAAGCCTTTGATTTGTTTGGGTTTTTTTTTTGTTTTTTTTTTTTGAGTGTGCACATTTTAATGCTTCTTTTTTAAGATTAAAATTATTCATGAGTATAAACATCCTGGGACAAAATGTAACACTCCACCCAGCTCCCCCTCCATGGCCTGGCTTCAAAGCCACTTGGGAAAATGTCTTTGCACACTTTGGAAGGTCATGCAAAGACATTTCATTTTTCTACTCTTTGATTGCATGTTTATTTCCCTGTAACACTTATTTTTAATAAGTTGGTATCAAACAAAAAAAAGTTTTATTTTCTGAAAAGAGGAAAACTATCCCAAGAAAACTGTTTCAAAAGCAATGTTTCATTCAACCTCAAAACAGAAAATTCCCTAGTTTTATTTTAAACATAAAATTTTGGAGTTTCAAATTAAAATGGAAAATATTTTTATATGTCAATTTATTTTTTTCCAAATTATTTTCAGGCATGTTTTTCATCAAATTCACCTAGACACTAATAAATTTTAAAGAAGCATAAATATATATATATATATATATATATATATATGTATTTATTGAATAAATGTGGATGTCTGAAATTATTTGAGCAGTTCTATTCCTCTGGCATCCACACCAATGTGCAAATTACTGGAAGATGGGCTACTCTCACAGTGTGAAAAGATCCACCACTTACCATTTTGTTGTTTCTACTTCAAAACAAGACCCTGAGCATCTTTTCAGCTTTTACACCACTGAAATAATCTGAATTAAACTTTTGGGGTTTTTCCACCACCAGGTTCAAAAGAGGGACTTGTGGAAGACTTTACCTGCATTGCCAGATTGCTTGAACCAGACTCACAGCAAAATATGTGCCCTGAAAATATCATCTCTCCCAAAAAATCCTTCAAAAGCAATACCAGTCCCTCCCTCCCTCCCTGCACCTCACGTAATGCCTTTGATCTTCAGCTGACTATGCTTTATTGCTAAAATTTGTTCAGTTTTTCATTGTCTTGATAAAAAGTATTTTCTTCAAGGACAGCCACATTTAATCCCTCCCAGAACAAAGTACACACACGCAAATCCCTCTCCCATGAGAGACTTTGAAAATTTTGTCTTCTTTCTTCAAGCTTTCATCCAGGTAGAAAAATCAAAGGAAAGCACGTGGTAATTGCAAATATGTGACAAAATATTTTACTAGTGCTTGGTGGGAATATGCCTTTTGAAAGCAAACAATAAATTGGCTGAGTAGAAATACACACACAACCATATAATTGTATAATCCAGGATGGAGAGCAGAATAACCTCCTGCTGTGGCTCAGATTTAACACTGTCCTCGCCTTATTCCCAGCACTGGTTTCATAGAGAACTCATCATCCAGGGGGTCTTAAAAACAGATGAGCCAGTCTGGCAGCAAGCAAAATGCAAACTACTACTCAAGTCTTGAACAAGAAATGTCTTTCAAGACCTCCCAGTCACCCTTCTGTGATGTTTAGGCTGAACTTCTAGACCAGCTTCAACCTGGCTACGCCAAGAAACTTCAAACAAAAGCAAATCCACTGATATGACACGGCCATGTACTGCACTGATGCCTCAGGTTTAGCTTTTATATTTTCAGATTCTGTGCTGCTTTAGTGTGTGGGTCTTAGCTTCAGATTAGGGGATGGTGAACTCTGTGCACAGAGTAGGGAGACAACACAATTCCTTCTCTAGCTGGGCACCAAGGACAAATGATCCAAATCTCAGACCCAAAAGCACAAACAACATGGGCTGAAGAGAGAAAAACAAGCAGGATGGGATTGCATAACCTAAACCGAAATTATCTGGACAATTACAATATGCAAATTAACCAAAATTTGTAAAAGTGAGGGACCTTGTGCCCACTCGTGCATTTTGGGGCCATTTTGGTTCACCTTGGGTGCAGCCCTGGCTAGGCTCTTGTGCTGCCCAAGGTGGATCCATTGAGGCCTTTTAATAAATCTCTGCTTTATTCTTTAACTCTGCCCAGCCTCTGTTCTAACTCAGCCCTCACAAGGCACCAGCACAAGGCTCTGTGCTGGCCATGCCTGCTGACTGCATCACACAAGCACATTCCATCTTATTTCCCTCTTAGTACAACAGCAAATTTCCCAATTTCCTCATTCACCTGAAGGGAAGCAAGAGGATTTGGCCGAAGTTTCTTTGTAACAAGAGAAATCTGCTGAATTTCCCATCGTTTCTCAAGACCTCTGCACGCTGTCCCTCAGGTGTGTCCCCTCCCTTTCTGAGCCCAAAAAGCCTCCCAGGATGGTGAATAAAGGTG